GAATCTTTCATTACTTGCAGATGTGGTCTGAAATTCGTCAGATACTCCAGAAGGCAGTGTAAATTCGATGGCTTACAAGCTCTGAGAAAGACATGTATTACAGAATGACAGATATAAACAGTGGAAGGTGGAAAGTCGAAGTTGATTTCAAAAGTTTTACTAATATGACTATCATAGTGTGGGCATTAGTTGGTGATTGAAGATGGAATCATAACTTGGGTGGTGACAGGATTGAACCAACAGTCTCCTGGTTATTGGCCTGGTGAGTAGTGTACCTCAGTGTCGCTTCAATTTACTTACTAATGACACAGCAAAGTCTGATCAAGAGTTTGGAAAGTGGTAAGTACTTGAGACCAGATTGTTACATGAGTTGATCACAGGAGGGCCATTCGTTTATGCAATGCAGTCATATAGGAGATCAGCAATGACATGACAGCTAACTACTTGATTCTCTGACTCAGCGCTGAGTGACTCAGGTTTGATTCACCTCATGGCTGTAAGTATGCCTTAATGGTGAATGTCAATAAATAGGGATTCCTACAACTCTGTTCACAAAATGAAAGTTAATATTTTAAAGGTGAACTACTCTTAGTGCAATTAAAGCTTTTCTCTGTTGATAACTGTTTTGGTACGAAATGTTGAGATTTGGAAAGACGTTAGACTGAGTTAGACTAGTACTTTCTGATATTTTTATGGGATTCTCTCTTTGTAATTCCCTACAGAGACCTTGGTATTAGTTTAGCTAAAAATCAGAAAGTCATATGAGTTCGTTCATGAGTTTCTATATCGTTTCTAATGCCGGAACAAAGTATATCTTATGTAAAATTCGTATATCTTAACAAGGCTAGGAAGTGACTCACATTCGGTCGTACGAATTCCTTCACATACAGAATTAGCTGGCATAAGGACCTTGCTGAAGTAGATAGATAGGGTAGTTTGATCTGCTAAATACTATCCAGTGAATATCAAATAAACTTGTCTAAACAGACGACTGAATTCGTTGTCGGTTAGAAAAGAATAAAGACCAAGAATGACCAACGGCACCAAAACAAATGATTCAGCAAAGAACTCAGAGATCGATATACATGTACTAGTGCGCAGTCACTTAACCGAATGAAACAAAATAAAAGTTCTAAACATTCATATTTAAGTGAAGGAAGAAAATGAAAGTAGGACTGTCACATTTCTATTTATAGTTTACAAACTTTCCAACTGAAAATCTCAAATGCTGGTGAAACTAGAAAAAGAATAAACCAACCTTTGCAATCCCTTTTAATAGCCTGATGAACTATGTTTAAACGTTTATGTTTGAATGTTTAGTCCACATATCTCTGGTTCGATATCTCCCACTAAGTCATCTATCGTACATAATATTTTTCAACGTGTCTGTATTGCATTGAAAATTTATTCTCCCTTACTTATCTCAACTAGTGAAGTAAAGCAATCATAAGGTAAAATATACTAAGTTTTCCCTTCTTTGTTAAATAACCTCATAAAGCATCATAATAAATCTAGACTACGAAAAAGTGAAGCGTGATAACTAGTTATTACCATGTAGTATTCGATCTAAAAGGCTAGATTAAATTAGTAAGAATAAGAATGTATATTGTTACCACCCCAGATGAAGTCACTCAGTTCAGTAGAATAAAGCAAATACGTAAAAGTGGTTTCAGCATTCAACATCAAGCACTAACAGTACTACTTTTCAATGATAAAATTCGATCGTTAGTAAACATTCAACTAGATGGAAGTCATTACTGATGGTTTGAGTTGAAATATATATGATATTTGAATCTTCTTACTAGATCAATCAATAGGACTTTCTTCACAGAAAGACTTCAGTTGACTTCGACCAGCCGTAACCTATTCTCCGCCTGTGTTAAAGATAAGCTTCCTCGTTCGACCGCCTTTATGTGCATCTACCAGTTCATCTGCTTTTGTGGAGCAAGGTCAATCGGCCGTAGCCAGAGAATGCTTTCTACACGTATACGAGAACATGTTTCTGCTTGGTTCTATAAAGGTGAAAGAAAGTCTGTTAGAAGTTCGATTCTGGAACATTTGATTGACTTCCATCACACAACAAATCCAGACGATGACTTTGAAATTATTTGTCGAATTCGCCCAAACCTCCCACATTCTCTTCGTTTTCAACTCCTTAAAACAACGGAGGCTTTAGCTATTCATAAAGTAAGACCTGATCTGTGTGTGCAAAAAGAAGTATGTGCAGTCACTTTTTTTATCATGGCCATAACATTTTCCCACCCCATTAGCTCCCCCTCCCACTTTGTTAATTTAACCTTTGTATCCTTCCTTTATCACTATTATTGTTAGTATAATCGCCTTCATTTTAATTAGTTTCTGGTTTTATTTCACTTATTGTCTTAATCCTTTTAGAAAACAGTGATTTCATCCTGTCTAACTTGTCTAGTGCCATTACGTAACATTAATTGATTTACCATTTTCAAGAATTTTTCCACCCCCTTCTGAGTTATATACTTTCCATAATCTATTTGTTATCATTCGCACTTCAAGTGTTATCATAATCAAAAATGCCTATGTCTTCATCCACTCTATTATTATTGTCATCATCATATAATGTTTAGTTTTCCTCAAGGGATATAATTTTCTCAAATATTGAGGGGGTTGTGGAGATTTGGAAATATTTCAAGTTGTTATTCATTGAAGACTGACATCAGTTGGAGGAACAAAGGAAACCTGGGAGCACTGGACAGCTGTTTCGTCCTAGTATGGGACTCCTCAGCAGTGCGCACCCACGACCACACCAGCTCTTTGGTGCTCGTTGGTGACTAGCTTCGAGAAGTATTCCCGAAGTTCCAATGACAAGTCGTGACGGTGGAGTCAAAGCCTGATGGCCGTGAGGACAAATACTCAACGATGACATTGGGTGGCGGTCTGCGCTATATCGTGAGCTAACAGAAGTTGGAAATATGGAGCATTGGATTCTGACCCAGTGGCTCAATGGTAACGCGCTGGTCGCGGAACCTGAAGGTCGCGGGTTCGATCCCTGCTGGTGGGGTCGTGGGTGCGCACTGCTGAGGAGTCCCATACTAGGACGAAACAGCTGTCCAGTGCTCCCAGGTTTCCTTTGTTCCTCCAACTGATGTCAGTCTTCAATGAATAACAACTTGAAATATTTCTCAAATATCATATATATACGATTGTATATCTTGAAAATAAATTCGTTGAAAAGAGTCTCTTCACTGAATATCTTGTCCTTGATGTTTATTCTTGACTAAGATTTTGTGTGTATATTGTGATTTTATGACATGCATAGTGTTCTGCTTTAAAAGTAATCGTAGTGTAAGAGCTGAAGGAATATAATGCATTGTCGGTTTATTTATATATACGTGTAATCAGTGGATAGTTATGTAAAGCCAAATGATAAGGTAACGCGATTAGTATAGATTTATGGATTTAGCTTTACTTTTTATTAAGACTATTCATTTCACTGTAAAAGCCTATCTTTGAAACTTGAACTCCTAAACCTTGAAATGTAGTCTTTTACTTATGACAGCTGTTTTACCCCATGGTATTCAAATACCAAGAATTTTTTTCGTATTGTGATGGTCATGTACTCTCGGAGCTGAATGGTTTAATCGTGGAGTTTTCATTGTCATTCTAGACAACATCCTCAGCACAAACTTCAGAGAGAAGTGAATTGTAGGGTTTTTTCCGCACTTTGTTCTGTAGCTTATCCTGGTGACCTTGCATGTGATTGGTTGTTTCTAATAAGGTTTTGATTAGTTGTCGTATGACCAGAAATTTGACCTTTTTGTTTCTTTATATTGGTTGATACATTGGGTCAATGTCAATATGTCTGTTGGTTTCTGACTTACCTGAATACCAAACAACTCTAAAAATTCTCTAGGGATCTTTATATTCCCTCTTTGCAGGATTTTCATATTTTCTTAAGATTAAACCATACAGTTCAGAGAACACAACACGATCAAGATTATTCTCCTAAGCACTAAGGAATTATCATTTTGACTGTCTGAGACAGCCATGGTTTGGCAAACTAGTATTCATACTGGGTGATGATAGAAGGTGAAATAAAAATTCTCACCACGGCCGGGTTCAAACCAGTGACCACTGGGTTTCCGACCCGATGCTCTACCAACTGAGCTATGCAGTCGAAAGACCTACCCCAGGAGAGGCTAAAACTGTAGACCTCCGCATTGTGAGTATGGCCCTCTAACGAGCTGTCCGCGGTCCACCAAGGACCTCATAGCTCAGTTGTTAGAGTATCTAGCTGGAAACCCGGTGGTTGCTGGTTCGAATCCGTCCACGGTCCAAATTTTCAGTTCACCTTCAATCATCACCCATTAAAGAATTACTATCGTTGAACTTGTGAAGTAATCTCGGTTATTCTTTATGTCATTTCTCTTCGAATAAAAGTGTTTGATCCTGGTCAGTTGTAATTTCATGTTTTCTAGTCCTTTGTACTGATCGAATCTTACGGATTATTCTAAAATGTGGTCACAAGCTAAGGAATCCATCTGGTGACCACATTCCAAAATGGTTTGTCGAGTTCGGTTTGACAACATGGTTCCTTCTCATTGACCTAGTTCTACAGGTGGTCAGTCGCAGGTTGAATAACGCAGTAATGCGGTCTCTAACTGCAGCACTGGATGAAATGAGTTCTGTCGTGGTGGTAGATACGCCTTGCTGAAGAACGCCAATGGCGGGCAGGATACCTAGGCTGAGTGGGGCTACCAGCTAGTTGACTCCGACCATCTAATAGACTTATCATTATAAGCTTAGCTATATATTAAACAGTTGGTTTTCTATGAAAAGAAGGGAAGTCAAATACATCTTATATAGGGAATATCCAGTGTGTATATAAGTGCATCCACTTTAGTTTACATATTAAAGTTGTAAATTTAGATCATTTATTCTGATTGGCATATTCCATGACGAAGGATAGTCAGATCATAAAATAAACCAATAATAATCAGAAATAATCACTGCTGACTTCCAAGTTATTTTCGTTTTGACCAAATTGGTTTATTAACTTTTTGACGTTCACTTGTATCTATAACAGAATGCCTTGGATTTGGTTTATTTATACTGTTTCTAGTATTGCTATCATTATTATGATGAGTGTTCCTTCTTGAATCATTTGAACTATAAGCCAACAATAACATACGCATTTCTTCTAAACTAATTTTACCGTCATTATTGAAATCCCAATTTTGTAGAATCATAGATCGAGTATAGTCCAAATCAGATTCATCGTAATCCTGATAAAAAGAAGGAAACAGAAGAAAGAAGGGGAAATTTATATACTCACTCAGAAAATCACCACCATCACCACCAGCAACAAGAACAACAACAATAACAGAATGAACCAACTATCAAGTTAATTAAATGTAGTAAAAACCTTTTTTATATCAGAGCTTAAACAAAATCAGTTAATCGTTTATTCTGGTGCCATAATAAAAGTTAAGTATACATTTGATCCACAATGATGTTAAGCATGATAATAATATATTGGAAATGTGAATAGAAGGCAGAAATTACAGTTCAGATAAAGCCGGAAAATAGTCACATAAACATTCATTCAATGGACAGTATGTTAATTATAGGAACATAAACATTTTTTTCCGAAATATGTGTGCATAGTTAGTGCAATCGCTCTCATTTTTCCTTCGCTGACTCGGTTGAATTGACCGGTCACTATAGACAGATGGGCTCCTGCGCAAATGACTCAGTATTTCCAATAATTTCCAATTTGATGGTAACCAAGGGTAGTGGTTAGTAATAGTATTAAGGAGGCATTCTACATTCTACTTGAGACTCATCAGCTGAATGCATCTGCCTCCAAATGAGTGATGTCACTCTACGACACAAACTAACGAACGATGTTCCAAACTCCTGAGCATTATCCACTCGGCCACTAAGCCACAACAGTCACGTTTTGTGCGATGGGTGTCGTTCCGATATAATTGCTTGTTAATCCTCATCGTTTACTGAGGATGGCCGTTCGACCACTATTGGCATATAAGCTGCTGTGTGGATCCCTTGTTATTGCCAGTAACTTCGTGAATTATTGGTACACAGGATAACAGCCTGAAGTTTGAAGCAATGGGTCCTGAGTTCGATAGGAAGTAGGTGCATCCAGCTGACGAATGCCGGATAGGACGGAACATGCGTCTTTACTTTCAGTGCTAGCCGCTTTTCTTTAGTATGGTATAATCATATGAGGATTCGATTCTGATTCATACACAAGAAGATGTTGCATATCAGTGAGTCAAAATATTCCTTAACATCCATAAGGTAAGTCGTAATGAACCAGTAGACACTGTAAGATTTCGACACGTTCTCATCTAGCAAACAATAATTAATTGTTTGTCTACCGGCCCTTCTTAAACCATTTGAGTGTTATAAACTGACGATCGCAGTGTTAAGCTATGCGATACTCAAGTTACTGAAGTTCAAGGAAGAAAATTATTTCACTTAGTGGTCAATATTTTCGAAGATGCGTAACTAAACCTTATTATTTGAGTGAAGTAGCCAGATGAATGTAGAGAACTACAGACTAAAATCAGTGACCTCAAGGAATTATTATTATTATTATTATTAGTCCCTTGGGTTCCTAGTGGAACATAGGGCTTCAGCAGCACGCCTCCAGTGACCTCTGTTCTCTGAGATATTTTGAACCTGGTCCCACGACAGCCCAGAAGCTCTCATTTCCTCCTCGCACGACCTCCTCCATGTCACCCTCGGACGTCCAACTCGTCGCTTCCCATGGGGATTCCACTCGAGGGCCTGACGCGTGATGTCCTCAGTCGGCCTTCTCAGTGCATGGCCAATCCATCTCCACTTCTTCCTGCATATTTGTTGCGTGATAGGTTCTTGGTTGGTTCGTTCCCAGAGTTCCTTGTTGCTTATTTTTTCTGGCCATCTGATCTTCAGCAGCGAGCGTAAGCAGTTGTTGATGAATGTCTGTAGTTTATTGGAAATACCTTTCGTAACGCGCCAAGTCTCTGAGCCATACAAGAGCACTGACTTGGCGTTGGTGTTGAAAATCCGTATCTTGTTCCACATGCTGAGTGCAGAAGATCTCCACACTGGTTTCAGGCTAATGAACGCCTGTCTTGCTTTTCCGATTCTGACTTTGACGTCCTCGTCCGTCCCGCCTGTAGTTGAAACAGTGCTTCCTAGATAGGTGAAGGAGGTTACTTCCTTCAAGTTTCTCCCGTTGACGGTGATTGGAGTTTGTTGTTGTTGTTGATGGTGGTGGTGCGGTATCTTCATCACTTCTGTCTTCTCTATATTCACCTGAAGTCCCGTCTTCGCTGCCCTGCCTCTTCTATCAACTTGTTAGTTTTTGCCTGCAGATCTTCAAGTTTATGTGACATTAGGCATAAGTCATCGGCGAAATCCAAGTCTTCTAGGTTCTTTTCCGTCGTCCAGTGTATCCCCCTCTTCTCGCTGCCTACTGTTTGCTGCATGATCCAGTCCACCACAATAAGGAATATCATGGGGGATAGTAGGCAACCTTGTTTCACTCCTGTCTTCACTTCAAAGGCATCACTGAGCTTCCCATTGTGGATTACTTGGCATGTAGCATCTTCATATAGTTGTTGAATGAGGCGGATAAAGGTTTGCGGTACTCCGTAGTATTGAAGCAGTTTCCAAATTACTTCTCGGTCGACGCTGTCAAAGGCCTTCTCAAAGTCGATGAAGTTGAGGTGGAGAGGTGATTGCCATTCTATGCTCTGTTCTATGATGATGAGTAGCGTTGCAATTTGGTCTGCACATGATTTGTACTTCCTGAAGCCTGCCTGTTCCGGTCGTAGTTTTGAATCCAGTGCATCCCTTAGCCTCTCCAGGATGATGCGGCTTAATATTTTACTTGCTTGGGTGGACAGGAGAGTGATTCCGCGCCAGTTCTTGCAAGCACTGAGGTCTCCCTTCTTCGGCAGTTTGACAAGGTAACCCTTCTTCCAATCATAGCCAGGTACCTTCTCTTCCTTCCACACCTTCTGCAATAGTGGTGTGAGCATGGCCGCTGTTGTCTCTGCATCTGTTTTCAGTGCTTCTGGCGGTATTCCATCTGGTCCTGCTGCTTTCCCACATTTCAGTAGCTTTATGGCGTTCAGGACTTCCATTTTCGTTGGGGGATTTATGTTCACTTGTAATTCAGCGGCTGCAGGTGGTATTTCTGGACGAAGTGCAGGTGGTGGTGGTGGTCGATTCAAGAGCTTCTTGAAGTGGTCGGCCCATTGTTTCCTCTGTTTCTCTTCTTTCGTAATTAAATTTCCTTCTTCATCTTTTATTGGTTTCATCTGTGTTGGTCTCTTCCCTGATAGCAACCTGGTTATTTGATACAATGTCGTCAGGTCTCTCTTACCTGCAGCCTGTTCTGCTTCACTTGCCAGTGTTTCGTAGAAGTGTCTTTTGTCTTTGCGTGCACTCTTCTTCACTTCTTTGTCCAGTGTTTTATACATTGTGCTCAGTTCCTCTTGTCGTTGAGCATCCTTGCACTGGTTTATCTTCTGCTTCACCATCCTCCTCTCCTCTATCAGCTTCCAGGTATCCGTCGAGATCCATTCCTTGTCTTCCACCTTCTTCCTTCCTAATACTGTTGTGCAGGTTTCTTTCCACATAGCTTTCAAAGACTTCCAGTGTTCTTCCACACAGGTTTCTTCAGGGATGTTGCTCGATGTCTCCCATTTTGTCTTGATGGCTGACGTGAAGATCTCCTTTGTAGTTTCATCCTTCAGTTTCCGAGTGTTGTACTTGAATTGAGGTCTATCACCAGCTTCCTTGAAGGCTTTTAACTTGATTTGGAAGGTTCCTTGCACTAGATAGTGGTCTGAACCTACATCTGCTCCTCTTCTTGACCTTGTGTTAAGTAGACTGCGTCTCCATTTTCTTGAGATTGAGATAAAGTCGATTTGATTTTTAGTGTGTCCATCTGGTGAAATCCATGTCGCTTTGTGGATATCCTTGTGCCTGAACACACTGCCTCCAATCACCAAATCGTTGAATGCGCAGAATTCTGCAAACAATTCTCCATTCTCATTCATTTCACCTAGTGCCTCTCGACCCATGGTTAGTTCTCTTCCCGTGTTGTCCCCTCCCAGTTTGGCATTCATGTCGCCCATCAGAATTTTGATATCGCCAACTGACGTCTTGTCCAGTGTTGATTGAAGTTGTCTGTAGAAATCCTCCTTTTTCTCTTGCTCTGCATTATTTGTAGGTGCATAACATTGTATGATTGTGACCTTTCTTCCTTTTGAGTTGAATCTTGCTGTCATGATCCTGGAGGAGATTGGTTCCCACTGCATGAGAGCCTTCGATGCTCTTGAGGACATCATGATAGCCACTCCATAACTCAGTGTGCTCGTGGTTGGCGTCTGGGTGACAGTATCGGAGTAGATTATTGATTCTCCAGTTGACAGTTTGGAGAGTCCACTCCCATTCCATCTGCTTTCGCAAATCCCAAGCACTTCGATGTTATACCTTCTCATCTCCTTTGCAATCTGGGCTGCCTTACTGGGTTCAAACATGGTGCGGACATTCCATGTCCCCACGTTTACTTTCGCTTTCATCGAGAGAAGACACATCGGCCAATTGGCTTCCCGAAGGCTTTCACCAACTGGCGTCATTTCGCCTCTCCGATTCCAGCGGGGAATAAGTTTGTTTTCATTTTTTATATTTTGTTTGTGCTTTGAAGTTTCTTTAGCGGTTAGATTTGTTTTAGGGGGTAGGGTTGCTAGCCCTATGCCCAACCTTCCCTCTTTACCCGGGCTTAGGACCGGCTAGTAACTAGTAAACTAGTTAACCAGGCGAGGTTGACCTCAAGGAATATTGAAGATAATTATATTAACAGATACGTAATGTATTCAATTTTTGCCAATAAAATATAAAATTTGACGGTTACATAGTTGTCAGAATGACACATACTGATAGAAGTTCCACTGCCTGCAGAGTTATTTCCTCTCTTTTGTTTCTGTAACGAATAATACTAGTTCAAAACACTTAAAATGTTTGACCACCTCTAATTTCGGTATCATTTTAATAATAATAATAATCGCTTTATTCCAAACAATATGCATGATAGTATGGAATTCTCAGCATTAATTCTTCAACAAATTCACTCCTAGAACAATGCCTTCAGAGGAAACGGTTATTGCGTCGGAATGATGCAAATAACAACAGTATTCAAGGCAATAATGTGAATTAATCAGCTGGTTCTGGATGGGCGTCCGGTCCATGAAGAAGAATCGACAGAAATGCAAGCTTAATTTTGGTGGTGGGGGTGGTGGTTCATTCAGATGGTACAAATACGTGCAACTCAAGCTAAGTCTCTGAAGGATAGTAATTTGATGTACTTTTTTGCACCCAAAAGTCCATTTCCATATAGAGTAACATTTTTTTCTCTGCTTTGTTATTGATTCGAGAAACGGAGAGTTGGAAACAGTTTAAAAATGCTCAGGAGTATATGATACGTCCAAAAATATTTAAATGATCAAAACTAATTGAAAGGAAAGAATTTGATGAAAATGTTCGATGAGTAAACTTGGTAGCCCAAGGTTCAAGCAGGCCACGTGTTTTACTTTTGAAGTCTTGATCGTTAACATAATGAGAGACTACTTCAAGATAATGTACACATCAAGGAATTATATCAGTCGGAGGTCGGTTGAAAACCTGGGATATTTGGATAGATGTTTTGTCCCAGTATGCGATTCTTCAGCAGTGAGCCTTAATGACCCCGTCAGGGAACTTCAGCTTGTCTCACCTCGTAATGAATACTACCTTGTAATCAGTCAGTCCTCATAAAACTCTGAAAATGATTCATCGTTATTTCTAGACGTTTGTTTCGGGATAAGCTTGCAATGTTTTTGAAGCTAAAGCTAAAACATACGGGAAACGTGTGATAGCAAACAAACAATGTATTCCATGATCTTCAGGCAAATGAAGAAGGGTTTCGTATACAATCGCTGCTTGCATAACCTGAATGGAACAGCATCTGGTATTCATCTAGACCGGATGGTGACCAGCTTCACAGAAGACTTAAAACTAGCCTTAACATCGAGTATCTTACAGTTATTTGTTGCTTGTGCAAAAACCTGCAAAACCAGCAAGTTAGTGAAGGTGATTTTTAACTGCTTATGTTTTTCAGTAATACAAATTGCAAAATTTTCTTTTCACAGTCATTGCATAACTTTTTGTTTCATAACTTATGCTACCATATCTTATCAAAAATGTATATGTTATGTCATGAAAAGTTATTACATCCCCTTGTATTGGAAAAAAGTTCTTTCAAGAGCGAAAAATTCTTTCTACTGAAGAAAAGTGTCACTCACCTCCTCAACAAGTTCCAAAAGATCTTTCAAGAAACCATATAATTCCAAATCTTCAATTGCTCCATTATTATCCTTTTTAAAAGATGGTTTTTTTTAAGAAATCAATAGTTTAACACCTGAATATTTGAACTGATTAAAACTGAGATATTATATTTTCTAGTAGAAAATTCAACTTCCAATGTATACCTTTTCGTTTTTAATTTAAGAAATAAACTTTTAATCTTTGAAGCATCAATCATCTTCACCGTTCCAAGTGAACACAAAACTATTCAAATAACTCGGATCATCCAATTTCCTTCTATATTAATGAACTATTTTAAGTCAAAAATCTCTTCAGTGCCTTTACAAGTAGTTGGATGAGACGTCATATCAATCTTGGAATCGTTAACAATTCAAGACGAGAAGTCGAGTTAAACAAAAAGGTATTTGAAGGAATTTTAATGGAATTAAATACGAAGGAACGAATGCTTTTATTGGAATCGCTCGTTCGCAATCAGTAATTAGGTAGAATGTAGGCAAATATACATAATGTTATTCTGATGTGTAAAAAAGCTTCATATTGCTACTAACCATCATGAAGAAGGTTAGGTAGACGATGAAAGAAGATAGAAAATTACGCAGACCGAAACTGGACATTGTCGAATCAATATTTATGGATGTATGTGCTTGTCTGTATCTAAATGAATATTGATTACTAGGGAGTCAAAACGAATTCTAGTTGTTTTAGGGTATAAAGAGAAGAAGCAGCTAGGTTAATGAGTTTTTGAAACGAGCCTGAATACTATTAGTATTAGATGATAGTAAGGTGTTTCTTAGAGTAACAAGAGTGTTTGACTTAAGAGAAGTGATGGTTAATAGAACAGGTCACAGTTGAGGTTCGCTAACCGGAAAGTTCAGTAAAAGACTTTGTGAAACATTTTGGCTAACTTATAGCATCTATTCACAAACCAACTATGATATAGTTATCGATTATCAACCATTCTATTTTTTAAAAGGTGAAAGAAATCCTTGTATAATAACTGTAGAAGAATAGGTTTACTTGAAATATTTTTCAAGATCTTTGGAAGTAAATTGGTCAAATCTTCTAACTCCGTCAAAATTCAAAACTCTAAGTCACTTTGAGACAGTCGAAAATTACTCCATTACCTTTTCAGACGAGAGAAGCTGACTTTGTCTGGTGGCATGATAACTCTTGAGAAAGAAGGTATTATAATAATCAAGTACTTTTCAACGCACCAGCAGGTTTGTCTGGTAATTAGGCTCTTTTATCTGTAGCTTAAATGTACATCTACCAGCTCACTTCTTCTGTGGAGCGAGGTGTATCGGTCGTATCCACAGGAAGCTTTCTACACATATACGAGAGTGTGTATCAGCTTAATTTTATAAAGGTGAAAGAAAGTCTGTTAAAAGTTGTATTCTAGAATGTTTGATTGATTTCTATCTTTCAACAAACTCAGGAAACGACTTTAAAATTGTTTATCAAATTCACCTAAATCTCCCATGTCTTCCTCGTTTTCAACTCCATAGAACAGCATCGCCCTAATTATTCATCAACTATATCCCTGTCTTTGTTGACAAAAGAGGTCTATACTAGTTACTGTTTTGCCATAGCAATTCCATTTTGACACTACGGAGTACCATAGACCGTTATCAACCTCATTCAGTGGCTATATGCTATGCTATATGCCGCTACATCCCAAGTTATTTACAATAGAAAGCTCAGTGATACCTTTGTAGTGAAGACAGGAATAAGACAAGGTTGCCACCTATTATCACCAGTGATCTTCCTGATTGCGGGGGATTGGACTGAACTGGATCATATAGCAGACAACTTTAAGGAGCAAGAAGATGCACATACACTGTCTGACTAGTGAGAAAACCCTAGAAGATTTGGATTTCGCCGATGATGATAACTTATATCTAATGTCTTGTCGCACAAACTAGAAGATCTGAAGGCAAAAAACCAACAAGTTGACACAAGAGGCGAGGTGAGGCAAAACAGAGAAGACGGAAATTCAAGTGAATGTAGAGAAGACAAAGGTGATGAAGATACCCAAACAACAACACCACCACCACCAACAACAACAACAAACACCAATCACCATCGATGGGAGAAACTTAAAGGAAGTAGTCTCTTTCACTTACACCCAGCTAAACAGCATCGTTTCAACTACAAGCTGCACAGGCACAGATGAGGACGTCAAAACCAGCCACGATCGGAAAGACAACAAGACAGGCCATCATCAATCTGAAATCACTGTGGAGATCTACTCCACTCCACTCCACTCTACTCTACTCTACTCCACTCCACTCAGCATTAAGCGTCAACAACATTCCGATTTTCAACACTAATCTCAGTCAAGTAAGGCAGTGCTTCTATGTGATAGTTGAGAGACTTGGTGCCTCACGAAAAGCATTTCCAACAAACTACACACATACATCATCAACACCTGCAACGTAAGCTCACTCGATACTGACACTGAAGATCAGATGGTCAGAATAATTGGAATATGCAACAAGGAACTGTGACTGGCTGGTGACCAACCAACCAACAACCTATCGTCCAACAAGTATGCAATGGAAGAAAGTGGAGATGGATTGGATTGGATTGAATTGTGCATACACTGAGTTGACCGTTTGAGGACATTACGTGTCAGGTCAGGCTGTCGAGTGTAAGTCAAATGGGAAACGACGAGATGGGTGTCCGTGGTGAGGTTGACATGGAGGAGATGGTGTGAGGAAGAAATGAGAGTTTGTGTGGAGACTTGGAGTCATGTTAAAAGATTGCAGAGGAGAGAGTGAAATGGAGGCGTGCTACTGAGGCTGTATGTTCCACTAGGAACCTAAACGACAAGTAATAATAATATCAAATGACATTTTCCTACCCCAACTAGTGTATTCTTTTATTACTATTATTATTACTGTGATTATCTTCGCTTTGGATAGCTTCCAGTGTTATTTCACATGACTGTCTTAATCTTTTCAGAAAGCAGTGCTTTTGCTAACTTGTTAAATCCTATTGCACGATACCTTTTATGTCAGTCTGTATCGACCTAATAAGCTGATGCACGGATGCCAGAATACCATTGATTCCTTTTTTTACAGTTTCTTATCGGCTGCTTACAACCTAAAAAGGTTCTAACTTCACTTTATGCAAAATTTTTGCATACTCCAATCAATTTGATGCGTAATTATCAGTTGGGGAACCACTGAAAGTCTGGGAGCACTGGACAGCTGTTTTGTCCTAGTATGGGATTCCTCAGCAGTACGCACCCACGACCCGGCTAGGGGTGGAACTCAGGACCTTCAGGTTTCACGGAGAACGCGTTAACCATTCATCCACTGGGTCGGTTTCCACTTGTTCACAATTTCCAACTTCTGTCAATTCACGACATAGCGCCACTGTCACCCAAGGTCTTCCTTCAGTTAGCATCCACTTCACTTCTGACTGGTTGACCCCACAGGTCACGGCTTCTCATTAGAACTTCCTGACATCCATCTGGAAGCAAGTCACTAATGAGCACTATAGAGTAATGTATTTTTGGGATGAATTGGGATTTTTAATTTAGAAGTAGTATTCATCATGGATTGACATCAGCTGGGGAACCATCGTGCTATGTCGTGAATTGACAGAAGTTGGAAATTGTGAACAAGTGGAAACCGACCCAGTGGATGAATGGTTAACGCGTTCTCCGTGAAACCTGAAGGTCCTGAGTTCCACCCCTAGCCGGGTCGTGGGTGCGTACTGCTGAGGAATCCCATACTAGGACAAAACAGCTGTCCAGTGCTCCTAGATTTTCAATGGTTCCCCAACTGATGTCAGTCCATGATGAATACTACTTCTAAATTAAAAATCCCCATTCATCTCAACAATACATTACAAAATTATCAGTTTGGAGAAAAGATAACATTTATAGGACGTAGTTGAAAACATACACACAACATCAATAAAAGGAAATGCTTCAGAGTAAGTATTAGTCTTTATCACGCGACAATGGTCTTTCAAGTGGATTTAAAATCGCTCATGCTGTTTTGAAGGTTATTATAGTCACTTAACTGTTGACATAAAAGTAGGTGTGGCTTGGTTCAAACCCTTGATAAAGTCAAGTACCAAAACACTAATCTGGCTTGTTAATTATAAGATGGATAGTGGCTAGCAGTAGAATCCAGAATGCTCATTTCGTCCTATTTAGGACTCGTCAGCTGGATGTACCTGATTCCCAGTTACTGATGTTGTTCCCACTGGGGTTCGGACTCGAGAGCGATCGCTTCAAACACCAGGGCTTTGGTGGTATAGTGGATTACTCTCTGGCGTTTGAAGCGATCGTTCCCGAGTCGGAATCCCAGCAGGAACAACATTACATATTAGAGGGAGGTACATCCATCTGATGAGTCCCAAATAGGACGAAATGCTCATCCTGGATTCCACTGCTAGCCACTATCCATCTTTACCGTAACCAGAACGCAGGTATATTGAGGCATCCGCACAGGAGCCCATATGCCAACATTGGCTACTTAATTACTTTAAAAGCCTAGATTTCAGCATAGTCAATTATTGGGGGTAGTCTGACAGGTTATATATTTAGGTTTAATTTTAGGTTCTAGCCAGAATTATAGATGTAGAATGTAGAAATTTTGAATAGAAACACTTCCATTGGCACTTTGAGTTGTAATAATACTTGATTATATCGAAATTCTTATCTTATCTGGATGAAACAGCCTCAAATCACTATGTTGCAGCAGTTGATTTAGACTTTATTTAGGCTGTGTATTATTTATTCACTCATAAATGAATCTACATTTCACATAGAATGTAAGGAGTGGAGTAACATGAATAGAGAAAACTGCTGAAAGTTATCGTCACAAGTCCAACAAAGTTGTTTGATTTGAGTGGGGAGTTTACATATGTTTCCCTGAATTAAACGCCGAATGTGAGTCGTAGTGGTATCCAAACGGAACAAGTTTGAGAGCGCCAATGAGCACAAAACCTGAAGATAGTTCTTGTTATCAACGGTTCATGGCTATCCAAACCGCAAGTATGTGAAGTTATTTTTCCAGTCACAGTTTTATGATGACGCATGTCCTATAATCTAGCTGATTGAAGGCCAGGATGTGGAATTTAAAGGAAATCGGAGCGTTGGTAGATGTATTTAACTTAAGAAGAGGTTTACGCTAAGCATGTCATCGTTGTGGATGACCTACCAAAGTGTGAGTTGTTCGGCAGTCTAACAAGAAATGGACCAATCATGGGAGAAGTCCATCAGGTAAAGGTCCCCACACGATGCAGTGGTGAGATATACACCGATGAAGGCCATATGACAGCCCAGTCGTAAGATGAACCTCTCCTTCCTTTGGCCAAAGAGAAGTCCAATGCAACATCATAGATTCTTCATGGGAAAACAACATGTGCTGAAAAACAGTAAACCCTACATTAAAGTCACGTCAGTAAGGATTCTCCTTTCCTGCATCTCATTATGTACACTCTATATGCACTCTTTATCTCTACTTAGTAATAAATCTTCTTCCCTTCTGAACCTTTACAAATGGTTATTATCATTTTGTTTGTTTTTCAATGTTACCCTATATACCCCTCATATACCATAGTTCCTGTTATAAACGTTTTGTGGTTATTCAAAGTATCAGTTAGTAACCTTAGTTTCCCAGCTGAAGTTTCATGATCATACTGTACACGATGATGAACAGATATGGTTGTTTGCTCGAAGTTAAGGCATATGCTTTATCTGATACACCCTGAGTATGGAGAAAACTAACTTTTGTATTACTTAATATGACGGAAAATATGACTATCAGAAAAATTACAGTTCATCTTTGAAATAAATGAACAATTCTCTGCCATTGTTAATAAAACCTAATTTTTCCCCTTGTTAATTCACAAAAGCAAACCAAACCACATGTTTTAGCATATATATTTCGTGTATAAGTACTAATCTGATATTACTGAATGCCTAATCATGATTATTTCTTTCAAAAACTCGAAGTAAAACACAAGATGTGCATTGATGTGAAACAATGCAATCACACCCAAACACATGTTTACAGTGGTATATAGAGACATTTAAGTAATGACGTTCAAGTGGAGTAATATAGGCGACTACAGTTTCGATAATAAACAGAATTAACGCATACATACTGTCATTTGAGGGAGAAGTGAATCTTTTTTATTGAAAGATTTTCCTTGAGATAAGTAAGCCATATTTATCTATTTCTCCTTTCCTAACATACTATTCTAGGATTACAAAAGTAAGAAAACTCCTTATGCGGTAAAATACATTAATTCACTGTTCAATCTTTTATAAACAATCTAATCCATCGTCGGTCTGGATGTTTTCACGAGTAACTTTGGATTATTATGGTTAGTATCATAATTAATCCTATCTGAAATTAAGTGTGTTCACAATGAGATCATTCTGAACAACTCACAGATATGCTTTTTAGTTTAATTTACCAACACGTAGTAGCTTACATATTAATTTAGCTTCAAGAGATTCTCGATACTTTATAACTTTACTATTACGTTTCACGTTTGAACCTGAAACAGTTAGTTGTAATGTTTGTGAGTAGATGATTTATGGCCATTAAAGGCAGATGACATGACAAGGCTTCAGAGGAAAGTTAGTTGATGTAGTCGTGAATCTTCATCAAATCACGTTGCCATGACTTGTGTCATACATGACTAGTCATTGTCTATCTCATCATACAGCACTGGCTGAAGTAAGTTCAGGATAGAAAAGGGGTAGAGTCGGCCAGATTAAAAAATAGCATCAGTGGATGAAGTGTTTGACTGTTTCTTTACGCTCTTTAAGGAAATGCAGACTTTCTGGCCGAGATCACCATGACAACACAAACCAGCGGTTGGAGACTCTAGGTGACGATGTTGCTCAGAATCGTTCTCAGTGGAGCAGGTGCAGCAACACATCATCGTAATCTTTATCGTTATCCTGAATTCAGTATTTTTTGTTTCTTCTTCCTCTCCTTTACTACTTTGGAATACTTCTGACTGATTCATCTTACTTCCTTAATCTTTCATCTCCTTACTCTGTTACTTATCGGACTGATATGCAGTAATGCCTAGCTCTATGTTTATTTTGATCATGATGATGATATCTCTAAATGGAGTAGGAGATATGTTTTGATTACTTCCCCAAGATGCTTACTACTTGTCCACCGAATGATAACAAACGATGTTAAGCGTATCGCAATATACTACTAAATGACATGAGTAGTTAGAAACCCGCTTAGACTGTTCTGTAGATTTTGCTAGCCACACCATAGTGATCTAATCACCAGATGACCCTGCGACGAGGTCCAGCTGCTGATTTTCATTTCATTCTAATCACCATGGGTTTTGCCCGACTACCATGCGAATTCATGACACATTATTTTCATTTTATTGTACTCACACTGACTGCTTAGTCAGAACTTCTCATGTTTGTGTTTAAAAACAAAATGAACTGATATCGGGCTATTGGGCTATCTGTTTTCTTGTTTCTTGAGTGTCATGGGGCAAATAATAATGATAATAATGAAGAACATGGATACAATTGATAGCACATTGTCTACTGTAGGTGACAATTTGGATGGTGATGACAAATTACCGCAAACGGGAGTAGACTAAAGTTGGACATTACTGCTAATATACATGAACTATATTAATGCTTGTTCGGCTTGATTTACGTCTATTTGTTAATCATTACTTACCACGGAGCAGCCAGCTGTACTCCGTTTCGTTGATTCAAACTACTGCGATTAGCCCATATGTGTGCGGCCTCGGAGTCAGTCTTTCTTCATATAAAATAAAACTCTTTTGTGAACTTTGGTTCCATAGAAATCAACCTTGTGTTAAGTTTTTATCGAATGCAATGCTATCTCTGATATATTCTACAATCTCTGAATGCCTGTTGAGTTCTTTGAAATTTGGTTTAAACATTATCTCTGTTCCTTTACCTTCAGATTCACTTTTTAATATTTGTGTAACTATCTAGTCAAATCCAGATTCACATAAACTCTTTTGATGAGTTTCAGTAAGCATGAAACCAGGATCCATAAATACCAGCCCACTAACTGTTAATATATATATATATATATATATATATATATATATATATATCAAGAGAGGGAGAGAGAGGGGGTATCGATCGGATAGAAGCAATCGGTAGGACGCCCTAGACATGAGTGTGGTGATTTTTGGAACTTGTCAGCAAGGCGTATCGGGCACCTCTACCCGAAATGGACATCATGGAACTAGTTACCATCCAATGATCAATCAGTATACCTGATCCGATCCAATAGGAGGTCACTAGCAGCATAAACAGTCAATTGAAAATGTCTCTGAATGACGTGTCTGTAAATCTCAGGTAGGACATCAGTTCCATCTACATTGCAGATATACCGTGCTGACGAGTGCGAAAAAGCTTGGCTTTCTGCCAATGGTGTTGACCCAACTAACATATTTAAGTATTTTACGAATGTTGATAAATGTAGGCTTACTGTATCGTATAATGCAAAAACACGATCTACATCAGCCGCGGTAATTTTGCCGCTGAGTTTGAATATTGGACGACACAAGAAATTCTCTTCAACTGGAATTAAACTATGCGGAAAAAAAATTTAAAAAATGAATTTCAGATTGAATGGAATAAGTGTCATGCGAAAAAATAAAACATGTAATGTGAAATAAACCTGGCCAAAAACACAGTTAAAAACAGGTACTCAGAGCTTGGAATGCTACCTTGGGGTCAAATTCTCAGGTCAATCGTTCAATAGATTTAGAAGTCTTAAGGCTATAACATCCTCCAAAAAGCAACTCTCTTAACCAGAAATTTACTGCTAAGGCAGAAAATAGCACAAGTTCACGGGAGTTGATATTTAAGATGAGAGAAATTGTTGTGCTACTAAAAGTAACAAAACATAGTCGTGGAGATTAGATTCCTAGAATAGTTTGAATATGTTAATTTTATGTTATTCAACGCAACTGCATGGATACAGCTTTATGTGGGGCTTCAAGTGAATGAATAAGCAGGGTACCAGTTTATATTGAAATGGTTGTAACTTATTACTGAAGTTTATTTATCGACACGTTTATACCGACTAAATACAAAGATTATCTAATCCCACTTATGATCAAATTATATATCGGACGCTAGACGAAAAAACGTTCCTCAATATGAATTCCATGAGATAAAACGGGGATAATTTTTTTTCTGCTAATAATATATGTTTAGAAGGTGGTATCAGTGACTTAAAGCTCTTCATTAATGAAATAGATTAACTAAGTAACTATTCACATCATAGTCACGTCATAGTCTAAAAACGAAATGGTCATTTGTCACTTGTAAAGGTCGACGCCTGGTAGTTCAAGTCACGTAGGTCTTGTCATCTGCATGAACAAATCAGTAATACATAGCATAGAAGCAAAAGCGCGTAATATTTATAGTTCTTAAAGAGATTACGATGATCTATGTAGGCTGAACAGGTGACTGTTTACTGACTTATTAAAGTAGAGTTACAGATAGCAACGTCAGCTGACTGAAAATCTGAATAAGCATCTATCAAGAAGTTGCCTGAGTTCCTCATCAAAGTAAACTGGCATTTGTCTACAAGAGATGCTGGTATGATGATCTAACCGGAAAATTTGATAACTTACTACACAATAGTCGATTTCGTATTATTTAATCTGAAGTTTTAATCGAATTCTGCAGACAATTTTGCAATTTGACCACCACGCTAGATAAGTGTAAAACGGTACATTTTGATTATTGCTAGATGGTTAGGAACAGGCTGCAGGAAGCTCTTGACCTACCTTTTATGCTTGTAGGCACTCATTGGCAGAGAGTGTTGTTAGTCTGAAGAGGTTAGTTTTAATGTCTGTAACTGTAGCAGTAGGTGACACGGGTTCAACAGTTAAGGAAGCTTTAGTTTTCTTGAGGAAGAAGATACAGCTCGATAAAGAGTCCTAAGAAGTAACAAACCTTGGTAAAAAGCTTCTGGCCAGTTGCTCCACCTCTGTGAAGTAACTACAACAATGACTAGTCATGTGGCAAGCAACCCACCAGACGTCTAATTGATTTAGTATTTCAGTCTGTTGTAATATACCGTAAAAGGAAAGGGTGGCAGATCTTTTCATTTTCATTATATATAGTTGTGTTGCAATTGCAGGTAAATCTCATCTGAAATATGTACTGATGTCAGCATTTTACTTCCTCATATTACGGATATAACAGAATTTATAAGCTACAAATTTCGTGTATATTTTCACACGTGAACACAAACGCCTTATCAAAATATAGGAAAGCTATCTGAACTGTTACTAACAGACCTTAACTTGAATGGCGTTTTTATCACGAATCACTCCTCTAGAGTGAACACATTTGCGTAGGCTTTCTCGTGAAAAATGGTGGAAAATAAGTTGGATAGTAGTTTATATAATATTGTTGATGAAATTAGTGGAAGTCATAACCTAATACTTAGTTCAAACATAGTAATTCAACAAGAATGGCTATTCTAATTTCCATTCATTGTAGGATAAAAATACCAAGACAATGTGAGCTACTTACCGAATGAGCAAATGTTTTTTAACGGTCAAATCTCAACTTGACTTTGGAAGTCAGTTACTTGACAATGGTCTATTTCATAAGTGTTTTCATAACGGAGAACCAATTAAAGCCTAGGATCAATAGACAGCTTCGGAAACCATAAAAACTAATAAAGAGTCAACAACAGCTTCACTTTAGCTTGGTAATCTTCACCAGTAATGTAGCTCTACAGAAGGCTGAATATGTTCGGAATCATTATCATTGATTACGATATCTGCGTACTCATTTATAGTTAGTTAATAAAGCATCTAGGTGCGTAAACTTAAAAGCATACCAAACGAAGGTATAATTACCAAGAAACATATAAATATGTATGGTATAAAATTAATGAAACTAATGTAAATCTGAAACTTTATAATCAATTATTTCTTAAAAACACTACCGAGCCATTTCACTCAGTTGTAACTTTCCGTCTTGATTGTGATCGAATAGTTTCAGCTGAAATTAAAAACAGAGGAAATAGAAAGGAAGTATCAACGTTCATCTGCACTATGTCAATGGAAATCGCTAAAAATACTGCTTTTGAAGTGGTTTAACTCCGTTCATTCATGTTTCAATCTCATTCTCTCTCATAAGAATCTTAAAATAATCAATATACATTCAACTTGTCTTATTTGGGAGATAACCAGTCCGATTATAGATACTTGCAGTATAGTAGAGTTTATATACGCTAATTTATCCTCTTAGTGCATTTCCCCACCACTGGTTAGTTTCAAACAAATATAATAAAATAATACAACAAAGTAATCAGCGTTTCTTCATATTCAGATAATTTTCTCCTTAAATGTTCGTTGTATATCATCCAATACTACTTTTTATCGGTTAGTAGTATTCCATGTCTTGCTTTCATCGTCGCATCGTTGAGGGGACCAAATTGATCAGTCTTTATTCGCATATGGAATCCTTCGCCGATGCCTCTATATTGCTTGCGTTTGAGGTATATATATATATATATATATATATATATATATATATATATATATATATATATATACCTTAGATTATTGGCCAATATTTTTGAGATTATCTTGAAAATTGAAATAGTTAACTCCGTTTACAAAGGTCACAGATCAAATTCTCGAATGACTGCAAAAAACCTTTTAATGTAACTCATATAAATATGGATAACAATTAGATGTCTGGCCATTTTGTTCGAAATGTATTACATTATTGCATTATACACTTTTTAGATGAACTACTTCTTGCTATTTTACCCAAATTATCCAGTCAAATAAAACAAACACACAGAATACTCACCGTTTCAAACATATTTTGATCTCATAGTTACTTGTCTGTCAATCTATATTGACAACTTGGCTTTATTTAACAGACTTCTAAAGTATCATTTTTCTGTTCTCAGCTGTGAAACTCAACTTTTTACTTAATCACAGTTTTCTCTTGATAAGTAAGTATGCATACTTGACCACCGTAGGCATAAATGGAGGCTAAACTGAGGATCTCTACATTTTGAAGTGAGCATCTATTTTTTCCTATTGTTAAAAGATTTTCGTTAATTACTAAGTGATAAGATGAAAGATGTAGCCATGTTGGTAATCGAGAATGGAGATTTAATCAGTACACTACTAAAATAGGTAGCATGCCAGTCAGAAACCTTGTTAGGCTGGTCAGAGTGATCTAAACACTAGAAGCCGAGTCGAAGTTCAGCTTGTACAGCCAAATTATACAGATCACCAGAGTCAGGCCACCTGACTTGTCTGGACACAGACACTTTCCGTAATCTAGTAATCATGATTCAGTGAAACAGTGAGATTTTATACCCACCTCAGTATTATCATAGTCTTGAAATTCCGGAAGTTCAACAATCATTCTCACATGGAACCTGAAGGCCCTGGGTTCGACTCCCAGTGAAGTCATTGGTGTGCACTGCTGAGTCCCACACTATGACAAAGCAGCTGTCCAGTGCTCCCAGGTTTCCAGTGTTCCTCCAACTGATATCAGTCTATGATGAGATCTAACCTGGAGTCAATTATTCTCACAGTTTTTTATTCATATAGCTGCATTTACTAAATATTTTTAAGTCCGTATAAATAAGTTGGAAGCTTCTTAAATACAGCGGTGATGATCTATAAAATAAGTGCATGACAAAAGAGAAGAAAATTTAGCGTAATAAATCTTTTTCATCCACAGAAACTGTGTTTTTCTCATGCGAGTTAACTGGAGTTAATAATTTTGGTATTACTGCTCTAAGATAATGTTTAAAAAAACCGCATCTACATAGCCCTTTCGATGTTCATTTTCAATTTCATAATAAGTTTTAAAAACTGAATGATGTATAGGTAAGAGGAAAACGTCTTGATCCTCTTTATGGTAGATTTCTTCATGGTACACTTAAACAAAACCGTCTCATCGCTAATGACTGGAGAGTTTCACTAGAAAACAGAGTAATACAATAGATTTTGAGGTGGATTATGAGTACAATTTTAAAAATGCTGTATAGAAGCGAAGATGATATCACTGTCTTCAAGGATCGATTTGTAAGAATAAAATATGGAGTGGACAATATATACATTTCCGGGGTTGATTACCAATGAATAGAAAGAGAAATACAATTCATTCACCGTTTTCGAGAATCAAAAGGATCTACATAACAGATATGATTGATGATGAAGTAGACAGATTCCTCCACTATAAAGTTATGAAGAAGAACTAGCAGATAAACCAACATGCCTAATGGCTTTCAAAAGTTTCGAAGAAAATGTCTTTATGAAGCTAAACTTCGAAGGTAATGCAATGATAAACAAACTTACAGTATCTTCAACAAAATACTTTTCTGTGTTGAGTCGTGGGTTGCTTTTTATAGTCTGAAGTTGGTATGTAAATGGGTCGAAAACAAGCTTCCACTTAAGGCCATCTCGATACGTATCCACAAGTTAATTTGATCTTATGAACGTAGTAACATTTAACATATGAAAAATGTTCTTCCCGTGCGTATTTTACAGCATTATTCTGTTTAGTGATCAAGAAGGGAATGAAATTCAACAGGCACTTCGAAACTTGAACATATAGTTACCTCAGGTGACAGAGATCCAACAAAGTCATATTTTACAGTTATCTGTAAAGTTGAGCCCAACAGTGCCGAAAAGAAGTGTAATTTCCCAACGAGAAGCGCTTACGATTCATCAATTCAAGCTTGATTTGTGTGCAGATGAAATATGTACATTCTTTGGTTTTGTCTTGATTTTCTTGTGGCTGTTTAATTAGTAATAAATATTCCACTGTTGTCTCTTTGACCTTGACCCTCATTTTTTTCATCTTTCAAGTAAATGTTTAATTAGGATACTTCATATCTAGAAACAAGTCATATATTGCTAAACTCTATACATTTCTTATTACATTCATCATCGTATAGGTTTTGTTTGCGTAGTCACCACAGCATATAAACTCATGTTTCTGTTTTGTTCAGTCGTAATATGTCGTTATTGCAATCTTAACTTACAAATCAGTATACGACGGTTATTAGAGTCCAGTGATATAAGTAACATTAAACAATTTCAGTAAATACTTCCATTCTCTACCCGTCACTACTCATGATCACTAAGAAGACTGTTATTCAATTCACCGAACTTATAATTTACTATTAGTGCTAGTAGTGTTGAATAAATAAAACATTGGTGTAATAAATGGGTACTGTTACAAAGAAAATAGAACTAGCTTACAATTGTATCTGTATATTCAATAATCTTCTCGTCGAACTTTTCATCTTTTTGGATGGTTCCATTAGACAAAAGTTCTGTGAGAAAATCCTTCAGAAAGTAAAGTGTGATAAAGCAGGCAAGTTAACTGATTGAGGAGTATAAAAAAAGTTAAGCAGTAAAAACTAATGAATCATTTGTTTGAGCACTGCAGTGGTAATCTAGGAATGCTTTGGAAAAACTCTGGTTATTATCTTCTGATCACAAAAATATGGGAGTCTAATAATTAGTAGTTGGAGCACTGGTTTGGTAAACCAGGGGTTAAGAGTTTAACCTCACCTGGTTAACTAGTTCACTAGTTACTAGCCCGTCTTAAGCCTGGATGAAGAAGAAACGTTGGGCTTAGTGCTACCAACACTACCCCGGAAAATCAATCCAATCGCCAAAGAAACATCAAAGTAGAGACATAATATAAAACATAAAAACAAATTTATTTCTTGCTGGAATTGGAGAGACGAAATGACGCCGGTTGGTGAAAGCCTTTGTGAAGCCAATTGACCGATATGTCTTCTTTGAATGAAAGCAAAAGTAAGGATAGGGACATAGAATGTCCGCACCACGTATGAACCTAGCAAGGCTGCCCAGATTTCAAAAGAGATGAGGAGGTATGGCATAGAAGTGCTTGGAATCTGTAAAAATAGATGGAATGGAAGTGTAATCTTCATACTGCAGTTGGTGCTGACTATGTCGTTTAGAAAGACGACGAAAGCTTCACGATTAAACAATCTAGCTCTGAAAACACAGTACAACCAAGACCATTCACCTAAACTACAAATATTCTCCACTCTCCAAACTCTTAACTGGAGAGTCAATAATCTACTCCGATATTGCCACCCAGACGACAACCATGAGCACACTGAGTTATGGAGTGATTATCATAATGTCTGCAGGAGCATCAAAGGCTCTCATGCAACGGGAATCAGTCTCATCTTCCAGGATCATGACAGCAAGATTCAACTCAAAAGGGCAGAAAGTTACAATCATGCTGTGCTACGCTGTACACCTACAAATAATGTAGATGAAGAAGAAGAAGAAGGAATTCTATAGACAACTGCAATCAGTACTGGACAAGACCACAATTGGCGATGGCGACATCAAAATTCTAATGGGTGACATGAATACCAAACTGGGAGCAGACAAAACAGGAAGACAACTGATCATGGGTCGAGAAGAACTCGGCGAAATGAACTAGAATGAAGAACTGTTTGCAAACTTCTGAGTATTCAACGATTTGGTGATTGGAGGCAGTGTGTACAAACACAGGGATATTTACAAAGCGACATGGATTTCACCAGACACCAGAGACACTAAAAATAAGATCAATTTCATCTCAATCTCAAGAAAGTGAAAGCGAAGCCTACTGGACACAAGATAATATCAAGAAGAGGAACAGATGTAGGTTCACGCGACTCACTATCTAGCGAAAGGAACATAATTCCAAAATCAAGTTGAAAGTCTTCATAGAAGTTGGTGATATGCCACAGTTCAAATTCAACACTCAGAACAGAAACTGAAGGATAAAACTACAAAGGACATTTTTACGTCAGCCAGTCATCTGGACAAAATGAAAGATATTGAACAACATCCCTGAAGGATCGGGTGCGGAAGAACACCAGAACTCAGATTTGGGAGGAAACCTGCATAACTGCATTATGAAGGAAGAGGAAGAGGAATGGATCTCGACGGACACAGGGAAGCTGATAGGGGAGGGAAAGGAAGATGGTGAAGCAGAAGATGAACCAATGCGAGGATGCACAACCAAAAGAAGAACTGAGTACAATGTATAAAATACTACACTGGACAAGGAAGTGAAGAAGAGTGTGTGCAAAGACAAAAGACACTTCCACGACACATTGGCAAGTAAAGCAGAACAGGCGGTAGGTAGGAGAGACAGAGACCTGACAACCTTATATCAAATAACCAGTTTACTATCTGGGAATAGATCAACTCAGACGAAACCAGTGGGAGATAGTGAAGGAAAGCTAGTTAGCAAAGAGAAGAAACAAAGGAAACGATGGGCTGATCACTTCAGAAAGCTTTTGAATCGACTACCACTACCACGTGCAAATCGCCCAGGAATACCACCAGCAATGACAGCATTACCGGTGGACACAGGCTCTGCAACAAGAGCAGAAGTCCTGAATGCCATAAAACTGCTGAAATTCTGGAAAGCAGCAGGACCAGATGGAATTCCGCTAGAAGTACTGAGAACAGACGCAGATACAACAGCGGACATGCTCACACTACTACTGCAGAAGGTTTGCAAGGGAGGAAGGAAAGGTACCTGCCGATTGGAAGAAGGGGTACCTTGTCAAATTCCCAAAGAAGGAAGACATAAGACTTTGCGAGAACTGGTGAGGAATCATGCGGCTGTCCACCTCGGGCAAAGTATTATACCACATCATCCTGGAGAGAGTAAAGGATGCTCTGGAAATGGAAAGCTCAGTGACGCTTTTGAAGTGAAGACAGGAATAAAACAAGGTTGCCACCTATTAGCACCAACGATCTTCCCAATTGTGGTGGTCTGGATCATGAAGCAGACAACTGTCAGGAGCTGTAAGAAGATAAGCATACGACGTCTGACTAGTGAGAAGACACCAGAAGAAGATCTTGATTTCGACGCCATCACCCATGATGATAACTGATGTCCAATATCTTGTCGCACAAACTAGAAGATCTGAAGGCAAAAAACCAACAAGTTGACACAGGAGGCAAGGTGAGGCGAAACAGAGAAGACGGGACTTCAAGTGAATGTAGAGAAGACACAGGTGATGAAGATACCCAAACAACAACACCAACACCACCACAACCAACAACAACAAACACCAATCACCATCGATGGGAGAAACTTAAAGGAAGTAGTCTCTTTCACTTACACCCAACTAGGCAGCATCGTTTCAACTACAAGCGGCACAGGCACAGATGAGGACGTCAAAAACAGCCACGATCGCAAAGACAACAAGACAGGTCATCATCAATCTGAAATCAGTGTGGAGATCTACTCCATTCCACTACACTCCACGTCACTCCACTCAGCACTAAGCGTCAACAACATTCCGATTTTCAACACTAATCTCAGTCAAGTAAGGCAGTGCTTCTATGTGACAGTTGAGAGACTTGGTGCCTCACGAAAAGCATTTCCAACAAACTACACACATACATCATCAACACCTGCAACGTAAGCTCACTCGATACTGACACTGAAGATCAGATGGTCAGAATAATTGGAATATGCAAAAAGGAACTGTGACTGGCTGGTGACCAACCAACCAACAACCTATCGTCCAACAAATATGCAATGGAAGAAAGTGGAGATGGATTGGATTGGATTGAATTGTGCATAGACTGAGTTGACCGTTTGAGGACATCACGCGTCAGGTCAGGTTGTCGAGTGTAAGCCAGATGGGAAACGACGAGATGGGTGTCCGTGGTGAGGTTGACATGGAGGAGATGGTGTGAGGAAGAAATGAGAGTTTGTGTGGAGTCTTGGAGTCAGGTTTAAAAGATTGCAGAGGAGAGAGTGAAATGGAGGCGTGCTACTGAAGTCGTATGTTCCACTTGGAACCCACGGGAAAAAAAGATAACAATAAACAATCAGAAGCCTACGGAAGCATTTGATTATAATATGATATGGATCTATTCTTGAGTAATCAGTTTAATTTTTTCCAATTAGTGTACTTTTACGACCTAATGTGAAGTAGTTAATGCTATATATATGATAAACTGTCATCATTGGAGAACCACTGAAAACCTTGGAGCACTGGAGAGATTTTTATCCTAATATGGGACCCGTTAAGCAGTAGGTAATCACGATGTCATCAGGGATCAAACTTTGCATTTCCGGGTCTCTTGGCTAACGCGTTAATCATTCAGTCACTGAGCCGGAGTTCAGTGGGCTACATTTTCCTACTAAGATACAGTGACCTTAGGTTTTCAACAGATATCCAGACGATGTCAGTCCACAATGAATACTACCTCAAAATTCAAATCCCTATTAACCTCAAAATAAACATTATTGTATTGTACTCATTAGTTATATGCTTCCAGGTGGATATACCGAAGTTCTAATGAGAAGCCGTGACCTATGGGGTCAGCGAGTCGGAAGGGAAGCGGATGCTAACTGAAAACCTTGCGTGATAGTCGCGCTATATCGTAAATTGACAGAAGTTGGAAACTGTGAACCATTGAGCTGCGGCACAGTGGCTGAATGGTGATTGTATTTGCCATGAAACCTGGAGGTTCTGAGTTTGAGCCCCAGCGGGATCTTAGGTGCTTACTGATGAGAAATCTCATACTAGTATGAAACAATTGTTCATTGCGTCCAGGTTTTCACTGGTTCTCCAGTTGATATCAGTCCGTGGTGAATAGCGCCTTTAAATAAAACCTACATAAACCTCAGACTACATGTATGTATATATATGTTTTAATAATGAGTGCATAGATATGCCTAAAAAGTATCTCAACCTCAAACATTAGGTAAGAAGTTGGATTGTCTAATGTAGGTCACACTGTAGTGTACAGTTGGCAATGATTATTCGAACATAGTTTTAGAATTTACAATCGCATAGCAATTTTCTGATCAACTTTAAAACTTTCACAAAGGCTGAATGAGACCCGTATTCACTTCATAAGCCTGAATTACTGGCTTAATGAAGATTCTGTGGATTGTTTAAAGTGCACACATTTTATTCATGAAATGAGAGGCAGGTCTAGTTTTTATTTTTCTGCAGATGCAATATATAAATGCCTGCTGACCGACTCCTAGAAGTTAACGCTGACTTACAGTGCACAACGGTACCGAGTCACATAATTTAATGACCGCATGGTAACCGTGACTGAGACTTCCGTTAGCAATGAGAACCAAGGAAAGCTACATTAGTTACTTGTTGACGGCTAGTTCCTATGCTTGATCGAAAACTACAAGGTGTTGTTTCCTGAACAGCTCTGTTGTCAAGTTTCTGAATTTTGTACTGATAGACACAAGTTCAAATCACCGAGGGAACTCCAGTTTTCCTATTGTTTCAAAGACAGTCTTACTGATGATGGAGCACACCTTCCTACCTATTAACTCTGCATAGCCAACATATAAATGCTCAATCATATTTACAACGATCATTTTCAAAGAAAGAGCTAAGCTTTCACCAATATTTTTACACCCTGTTCTATTGTTTGACATACAAATCCTAACTACAGTAATTAGTTCTACATATTAATAAGACAACATAATACTAGAAGAAACCAGGCGATACTTACTTTTAATTCATCTGCTTCAATGAAGCCACTGTGATCTTTGTCGAATTCTCGCCAAACCTAGAACATGAATAAATAAATAAATAAATATATATCAACTTTACAATAAACAGTAGTCCCTTTACTAGTTAGAACCGTATTTTATAAGTAAACCCTAAGAGAGTAAGTAGATAACGAAAACTGATAGTTGTCTAAAACAAAAACGTGGCTCACCTTCTAAAGTTTGCGTTAAGCAGTTTGGAGATAGGAAATTTGTCTGACGAATTAGGAAAGGAATACTTACTGACTATTATATTGCCTAATTAAAACTTTAAATTACTAGCTGAAGATATCCAAAGAAAGAAAAGATATAGAAGTGCAATATTTCATAATTACTAAACTGAAGGTTGGTATCCACTGTTAAAACATTGATAAAAGACTGATTCGGATTCTCACAACTGCCTAAATTTTTAGGAACTCATTTAAAACATGTTTATTTCAAAGGAAATCAATGTAAGTGAAATAAATAAGACGGTTAACATTTGAAGCGTATTCTAGACACTCTTCTCCATCTAACAACGTACATAGTGGAAGACACATGTTTAAATTTTGTTGAAGATAACAAATAATAGAGAATGTTTTCCAATCTTTGTTTCCTACCAATTAGATTGATATTTTATACCCATTTAAGAAAAGGAACAGGGAAATATGATTTTATTGAATAAATACTGGGACTATAGGGTATTTATCAAACTGGTGGATAGCGAAATAGGGGAATTGTCCCTAAACAGCCACAACACTTTCACGGATGATATTCGATACTGACCAATGGAATTGTTGTCACCACACCACTACTAAAATACACAGAAGACAAAGCATGAAATGATGGAGAATATTTGTAGCTCAGATGGATGGTCTTGGTTGTATTGCGTTCTCTGAGCTGGGTCGTTTAATCATGAAACTTTCATCGCCTTGCTAGACGACATCATCAGCACTCAAAAGCACCTACAACCGAAGAAACATACGACTGCGTTATCAACTTATCAAAACAACCACTCACGAAAATGGAAGAACTTCTCCTTCAAAAATGATTGGATTACATCACAAAAGATGCCTCGAAACCAAAATTCTTTGCGGCATTAGAATCCTCACTTAAAACATCAGGAATAAATGAGGTCACTCAGCAAAAAATACGGCAAACAATCGTACCACTAACCAGACAGAGAAGACATCATGCTCAAATGAACACTCAAGAACAGAAAACAATAAAAAGACTGAAAAATAGGAAAGATATCATTATACTTCCAACAGACAAAGGAAGCACTACAGTGGTCATGGACAAAGAAGACTATATCAAGAAGGCTTAGGAATTACTCAAAGACGAAAATGTGTATAAACCACTCGAAACCAACCCTATCCAAAAGTTCGACAACCAGATCAACAACAAACTCTTCAAAGCAGAAGAAATAACAAAACAAGACAAATGGCGTATGAAATCGAATGGGCCTATCCTTCCTCGATTCTACGGCAGACCAGAACTACACAAACCCGATATCCCTCTACGACCAATAATCTCACTTCGGAACTCCAACATACAACATATCAAGAGAACTTTCGAGAAAACTGAAACGCCTCCTCCAACCATGCGGACATCCCATCAAGTCACCAGCGGAATTCTTAGAAAAGATCAAAAATATTAACATAGAAAACGATGAGTTAATGATATCCTTTGATGTTACAGCACTATACACATCCATCGAACCTCAGTTGGCCAAGGAACCCATATCCCTCCTGATCAATGAAGACAAAAACCTTTCAGAACGCACAAAACTCAAATGTTCAAGTCTGATGGGATTCATCCACCATTGTTTGACAACATATTTCCAATTCAACGGCAAGATATACAAACACATGAAAGGAACTCCAATGGGATCACCGATATCCGGATTAATAACAGAAGCAGTGATGCAGAGACTGGAAGCCATTATTCTACCTGTGATCAAACCAAAAATTTGGATTCGTTATGCAGACGACACTTTTGTCATCATTAAAAAGGATGACATAGAAAACACCCACAGTTGATCAACAACGTTTTCAATGACATCAAATTCACAATGGAGAAAGAGTCAAACAACCAACTACCATTCCTGGATGTTTTAGTCAGTAGGACAAATGTCGGAAAGCTGGAAACCCTAGTGTACAGGAAGCCAACACATACACACACACACACACACCAAATCCTCAGCTACAATAGCAACAACCCAACAACACACAAAATCAGTTGCATGCAGACTCTATTCAAAAGAGTGAGAACACACTGCAGTACAGCAATTTCACGGAGGAACGAAGAAAATTACTTGATGTCCACTCTAACGAAGAACGGATACCCACGAAACTTTATCAGAAGACGCCTATCCCGTGCATCACCAACTACAAAGTCATCGACAGAAATCAACAAACGCATCGTCCTACCATACATAAAGAATGTATCAGAAATCACAACAAGATTGCTGAGACCACTTGGAATTGGTGTGGCTCACAAACCAACAAATTCCCTCCAAACACTATTATGCAGACCAAAGGAAGCAACCAGCAAAGAAGACAAACCGAATGTCATTCACAAAATCAACTGGAATAACTGTAGTCAGCACTACATTGGACAGAGCGGCCACCCTCTTCGCCTTCTTCTACATGAGCACCAATTGGCTATTAAACGCCACGACATTTCGTCACTCATTTCAATGCATGTGGATAATTATGGACATGAATTCAATTTGGACAATGTAGGAATTTTGGACGGAGAGAGGAAACACAAAGAATGTCAGAGAATTCCTAGGAGCTTGGTATTCAGATCAGTCAGTCAGTAATCAATGGAGAGATGTTTAGACATAGACCCTATCTATCAACCAATAAGAAAAATGATAAACGACAGAAAGGTGAGAGGTGAGGGAGAGGAACAGCCAACAGGACAGTCTATACAATCAATGACACAATAATCGAAGGAAACAACCAATCACAGACCACATTGTCAGAGCAAGCCACTAAATCAGTCAGGGAGAGATACTGACAGCTCACTTCATACTGAAGTTAGTGCTGATGATGTCATCTAGCGAGGTGATGAAAGCTTCACGATTAGATAACCCGTCTCAGAGAACGCAATACAAACAAGCGAAGAGAAGGCTGGTATGACAAGATTTAGATTGTTGGACTAATAATATGTGATTGACAGAATGTTTTACCAAAGGGATTAGTGGGATCAATAAATGTGACTCGTATTAACTTTTGTCAAGTTTAAGGACAAATACTAACCAATCAGGTGTTCGCCTATTCAAACAAACGTATCAACATTAGGATTTGTGAATGTATTCTGTAAGGGTTACTGATGTTGGATATAACAGTCCGCAGAATTCAAGTATGGACATAATTTAAACTTCACATGTTCGAGAATGGTTGAGAGATTAATTTTTGGTCATGTGACTGTAAAAGGCAACGGAATTTATATGAGTATCATACAACCCTTTACGTTGAACAAACGTATATGCATGTATGGATGCTGAAAATAAGCGTCTAACTCAAATCAGACAGTAATGTACTCTTTTATAATGCCAAAAAGTAGTCTTAATTGATTCCCTATGTAAGACAATGGATTGAACTTAAAGTGAAGAAGTACTTGGCGATTATCAGCAAAAAGCTGTCGTACCATAATGGGATTAGAGATGACGAAGAAAGCAGTCGAGGTTAACTCGTCCCTATATCATATGTTTACTATTAGGTAGTTTTATTTCTGACATAATCAACAATAACAGTCAGAATGATAATAATAAAAATGATGAAACTTCATTTGAAGATGACAAAATTAGTTTTCATCTTGACTCTCTGAGATAGTCGCGATTTGATAGATTCGCAGTGAAGGTGAAGTGAAAATCTTGGTCGCAGCAAGATTGGAATCAGTGACCAGCGTTAAAATTAGTGATATACTATGGAAATTATTCATCATGTTATTTCAGATGAAAAAATCTTCCTGAAACTTTTCACAATATATCCATCAATATCAGGTTAGATTAAACCATATGATCAGTAGATGATAACTTATTCAGGGTTCTACACTCCATTATTGGAGTGAAGTCAACAAGACAACCTCGTAGATGAGCGTTTATTTTTGATGAAATGTAAAACTACATTTTTCACTTTTTCTAAACAGAGGATTTATATCCTACAGAGAGAACTAATTCTTCCTTCTACAGTTATTGTGATCCTGGTGCTCAAAAGTAGAGTAGTTGTGATCGGCCAACTACAGCTACATTAACAGCAAGTATTTTTTTGATACAAGGAAGTTTCAGTCAATGAAAAGAGGGAATTAAGAACACTTCGACTGTTTTACAGAAAACGTCGTGACAATCAATAGATTATTGATTACTCTGTCTAGTCTCAATATATCTAACTGGTAACTGGATTTGAGCCTTCAATAAAGCTTCAAGCTAAGCGTATTGATGCATTAATTGTCTAATTAATATTAGCGTTAGCAAAAGCATTCATGTATTTTACCTAGATATTTGTGCATAAACTACAAATAAGAGAATATTTTCATCGTGTCCAAAAGTTATTGTAATTATAGTAATCTAGGTAAACATTAGACAATTAATTCAAATAAATGTTAATCTACACTGAACATTTAACGAAACATACAAATATTAAAGTGTTCATTATAAATTCCACCTACATCGTGATTAAATTAATATTTGGACAAAAACTGTTACATTGTTTTCTTATTTCTGTAATCTGTCAACTGGAAAATGTTTACTGGTGTATATGAACTGAAAAAGACCATTTATTCATACTGATCAGTTTGATAATGAGAGCGATAAATGGTTTTCTATTATTAATGATATATTTTTAGAATAACCAATCAGATGATTGCTTAACTGACCAAAACAGCGTTGCTGTTGGTTACTTATAATCCATTACATTACATGACAAAAGAATTTTCATTAAAGGCAAATATTGAATAGACAAATTTATGTTACATTTGACATTTACTTTAGTGGTTACTTATACATGTGTGTAATGATAATAAAAGGAAA